GGGCAGCCTCGAACCGCTCCTCGCTGCGGCCTCGGAGGCCTTGTTGAGCGCCTGGGTTCGCACCGCGCTCTCCGTGGGCCCTGAAGGAGCCGGCATGTCGAAGGGGCAGCGGGAGCAGGCCCAGGGCACATCCCAGTTGGCGAGTTTTCTCACCTTGCCAGCCGCTGCCAGCCGGGGAGCAGCTCAGGGCTGGCGCCTGCAGCTGTAGCGTGTCCTGTGCCCAGATCGGGTGGGCGGGCACAGCCTTGTCCGGTGCCTTCTGTGCTCAGGAGCTTCGGTAGGGGCTGGAGCCGCGGCCTGGCTGTTCGGTGGAGCTGGGGCACATTGCTGGATCCAGATCTGACAGCTGGCGGGTGGTAACACACTTCTCTTATTAGCACAGGTCTGTCTGCCTTGGTTAATGCAGCAGAAGGAAGGCTTTAGCACGACATTTCGTTCAATGAAACTGCAGGCTCTGCATAATGCCGGGGACGTTATACCAGATGAGAATGCTTGTTGGTGGCTGACTTCTGATTTGCTAGTGTTTTGAGCAATCTCTTTAGAAAGTGCTTCATTATGTTTACCATAATAAATTATCAGATTACTTACTCTTTTTTCCCCTTCTTTTTTAGGTGCAGGTGGCTTTTTGCCTGCTATGAAACAGATTGGGAATGTGGCTGCATTACCCGGCATTGTTCATGTGAGTAACTGCTTTGAAAACTTGCTCTTTTTGTGTTCCTGTTTGCCTGGCGTTGTTGCTTTCCAAATGGGAACTCTGTTATGAAAAGGGGTATGGACCAATATTCTTTTCAAGACAGTCTGTGTGCTAGGAACTTGGCACTGCATAAGGAGTGTTTGCAAGGGCAGGCTGTAAAACTGAGGTGTCAGAAAGAGAAGTATCCGTTTACTCTGTTAGCTCGCTTTTGACATGAAGCTTTTCTAGTATTGCTTTATGCTATTTCAGTTTGCTTGAGCCACTTTTCTCCCATTGCTTATACTGTCTGTTGCTTTTGAGTTGCCTCTGCTGACTTGGAATGCATGGAGAAGTGGGGAGAGAGCAGGAGGCGGTATTGTTGGCTGTGTTATTGTTGCTGCCCTAATGTTGGTAGTGAGCCTTCATGTGCATGCAACACACTTTTCTCTTGCCCCATGCGTTTTTGGAAGTGAAGCGTCAGATATAATGATGCAGGAGGAAAATACTAGGCTGTGTCACTCTTTAAGAAGTGCTAAATACGACATGGAAATTTTTTTCATTTTCAATATTGCATACAAGGAACAGATGATAATTTTTTTTTTAGTTGTTTCTCCTGGTGACTTGGCAAAAGTTTTAAATTTCTGGCTGCAGTAAAAGGCTGTTAAAATGCCTTAATAGTCAACCAAAAAGGGAGTAATGTAGAATAATAACAACCTGTTAGAATGGGAATTTTGTCTGGTAGTTTGCAGGAGAGATGTTACAATCATTTGTGTGCTTTTTATTTCTACACCAAGAGATTTCTTCGTGGTGGCAAGAGAAGGCAGAGGAAGGACATAATCCCAATGAAAAGTATTGTTCTTTTCAATGTATGGCAACAGTTTAACACACACTGAAAAGTTCCAATTTCCAACAGTTTTCTGGGTGTGTGGGGCTCTTTTTTTTTTTTTTTTTTTTGTGCTTCACGAAGTTGTGGAGTACTGTATATGGTGTCCTGAGCTAAACTTGCTGGGCTACATATACTTTGTGGAGGTGTGTAGGTATATGCTCTTCCTTTCTTAAATTTATAGTAAAATGAAAAGGTTCAATAAAAAGAATTATTTTATTATATGATATCCTGTCAGGATACCATTCTAAGAGGATAACTTCTTCCTGCCTACAGGGTGCAGTCTTTGGTCATTGTTTGATGACACAGCTAAGAAAAAATGCTGACTGTTTTACGATTCCATTCCATGGCACTGAACTCCATCCTTGTTACATTTACAGTATTTAAATATTGTAGATGTCTCTAGATGGAACTTGAAAAAGACAAGCTCATCTTTGATCTTATATCTCTGCTTTATGCTACTTATAAACAATTGCTGGGAAAAATTTTGAATACAAGGACTACTGAATCCAAGAAAAACCTATGTTAGAATTCAGTTTGAGATGACAATTGCTACATTTAGGTGCTTCAGCTTCTTTTAAGTTTTCTTGAGATCTGGTCAGTGGAGCCAAGGGGGCTTCTCAGCTGACTAGCCACTGGGTGATTGCTTCAGAACAAGATCTGCTCTCTGCTTTCTTTGACTGTCCTGTAGCTGCAGGAATTTAGATACTTGCCTGAATTCATGTGTTCGCTCATGAGCATCCATTCTCTTTTCCGTATATTCGTTGGCCAACGTGACAGCCACTGCCACAAGGCAAAGCATAACCAGGGTGACTCTGTGCAGCGTAGAGTTTCATAAAACTTTAAAATTTCTTTCATTCTCTTTCAGAGATCAATAGGCCTTCCAGATGTCCATTCTGGCTATGGATTTGCCATTGGCAACATGGCTGCCTTTGATATGAATGATCCTGAAGCAGTGGTTTCACCAGGTAAGGATGACTGACGTAACATGCGCTGAGAAATATCTGGGACTGTATAAAAATACTTTTTGAAATGGTAGGTCTTTACAGTGCTTTGTATACGGAACCAAAGCAAAAAAAATGTGAATTAATTGGGAGCTAAAAGGTGCTTAATTCTTGCATTCAGAATCTATATTCTTCGTGGAGCAAATGATTACAATGAAATCATCTCAACAGCACAGAGAGAATTGCCCTTGTATTTTTTGGCTTGGGCTCACAATACTCTCCCATTTTGAAGGGAAAGCACAAGACTGAACTTGTGTTTCACCAGGCTGGTAAAGAATTGGTTATTTTCTTTGAGCGACGTTTGAAAACGTCTTTTGAGAATATTTCCACACTCTGTTAAAAATATGACCTTTAAACATGTCTGTCTTTTTAATAAAAACCTCTGTCTTTAATAACTGATGGTCTGGAGATACTTTCGTGGTTGTCATGAAACATGATATGTTTCAGGTTTGCTTCAGGGAGTTCCAGTGTTCCTGACTAACTCAAAACCCAAGATCTCTTAGTCTGGTATCTCCACTCTGGCACTAGTTAATATCAGAACCTTCATACCAAAGGTGGTACGATGGATCCTTCCCCTTAGGCCTTGCCCTGCAGTATTTATTTTTGTTAAATAGCAAAAGTTAAGCAAAACCAGTAAGCGCTGAAGTTTAATATTGCTTGTCTTTATTACTTATTATAACTAGATACTATTTATTCCAGTGAAGATTGAAAAAGGACTTGCTTTCAGGGGCTTGTTTTTGAAAGCATCTTACGTCAGGCAGCCATGCTAAGAACTGGGGTTTTTGTGACCTTGGGCAGAAGAACAGGAATATCTTCTCTGCTTTCTGTGGACAGTGTATTTCATAGCTGTGTCTAGCTCTCTTGGTAGAGTTGCTGGAGCAACTTTGTAAACACAGAGCTCTGTAGGCAATTGTACAGCTGATGTCTGTAAAGCATGTGCTGGGGATTGAAAAACTGTTTAGTTTTTAAGAGTTTCCAAGTTTTTCTCTGCAAGACGACATTTTTGGCTGTCTCGAAATCTGAGGCTTCATGTTTTTTTTTCTGCAGTATTGTGTCTGAAAGGTGTAAGATTACAGTATTCAGCACATACTCCCTGTCAGCAGGGACACTAATTTAAGATGAATATTCAGCAAGCGCTCACCATGAGCACACTTCCTTTATTAACTCCGTGCATTTCTCTACACATCTAGGTGGTGTCGGATTTGACATCAACTGTGGTGTCCGCTTATTACGTACGAATTTGGATGAAAGCGACGTGCAGCCTGTGAAGGAGCAGCTTGCCCAGGCTATGTTTGACCACATTCCTGTTGGTGTTGGCTCCAAAGGTGTCATCCCCATGAATGCCAAGTAAGAGAATGATTTTATGTGCACATCACTAGAGAGGACATCACTTGATGTTTATTTTTATGAGAGGTTCATCAGTGGGAGGCTTTGAGAAAGGAAAAAAGAAATTCTTAACCTTCTTTCTGCATATGTGCTTCACCAGGAGGACTGGCATATAGTCATTAGTGCACAAAGTCAGCTGCTTCTTCCCCCATTTAAAACCCTGAAATGACTAGAGATTCTTGATAGGTTCTCATTTCTTCTGGCAGAAACCTCTATGAATGTGAAGTTACTGTTTTGGAAAGGACGAGGGAGGAAACTGGATATTCCTCACACAGCAGGAAGAAGTACTGACCTATCTAAAGTTAATATATTTGTAGAGCTTGATTTTCATGAAGCAATAAGAAGTTAGACTTCTTGTTAAGGTACTTGGGGGCTGAGCATAAAATCACAGAATAATTAAGGTTGGATGGGATCTCTTGAGGTCATGTTGTCCAACTTCTGGCACAAAGGAGGGCTAATTCTGAAAGCAGGTAACAGTTACGTCAGGTTGCTCAGAGCCATATCCAGTGAAGTTCTGGGTATATCCAAGGATAGCTGCCTTACGTGGGTGTCTGATAATTGCAGGGATTTGGAAGAGGCACTAGAGATGGGCGTGGACTGGTCCCTCCGGGAAGGCTACGCCTGGGCAGAGGACAAGGAGCACTGTGAGGAGTATGGAAGGATGCTGCAGGCTGACCCCAACAAGGTCTCCTCCAGAGCAAAGAAGAGGGGTCTGCCACAGGTAATGTGATGTTTCAGGAGGGCTATGGGTGCTTCCAGGGTTCAATTTTCCCCATTGCCAATATTCCCATAGCTCTCCCCTGTGCTCTCAGCGGCTGCTTTACTAGCACCATCTGATACAGTGTGTTGTGATTGGCAGCTGGGGACCCTGGGAGCAGGAAATCATTACGCCGAGATCCAGGTTGTGGATGACATTTACAACGAATATGCTGCCAGAAAGATGGGCATCGACCACAAAGGGCAGGTGTGCGTGATGATCCACAGTGGCAGCAGAGGTCTGGGCCACCAGGTTGCCACAGGTACGAGCTGACTGGCGTAGCTACCCAGAAAGAGGCAAATTCCCATCAGCAACAAAAGGCAGCACCAAAAAGCATTTCTTACAGTGTAACTGCTGAGTCTATTCTGAGTCGTCTTGACAGGGCTTGCCTTGAATTTTGTCTGCTTGATCTCACTTATGCTTTCAAGCCTCTTAGCAATGATAAGTTTAAAACCAATCTGTTAATTGTCTTTGGTCGTGCGGAGTATTGATCCGACTATTATGTGTCCACACAACAGGATAAGAGATGGTATTCTCATGCTGGAACATGGGAAATTCCAACTAGGTACTAGAAATTTCATTTATTTTTTTAACCATTGAAGTGGTCAGATGCTGGAACCGGTTGCTTAGAGAGGTTGTAGAAGCAGCATCCTTGGAGATATTCAAAACTTGACTGTATAAGACCCTGAGCAACCTGATTGAGCTGGAGCTGCCTTGAGCAAGTGATAGTACTACACAAAAGTCCCTTCCAAACTAAATTATTCTGCAATTGAGAGTATGGAGATTTTCACTAAATCCCCTGTGGCTGAGGGTCTGGCTTTGTGTGTATTTGCTTAGGACAGTGAGTCCGTAATCTTTGGTGTAACAGAGACAGGCATTCTTGCAGCAGAAAAAGAAAAGACTAAGTTCTTGGGTCACAGAAAAAGCATTACATCTATGTTCATTGTTTTAAGCCCAAGTGAAGTGCTCAAATTATTAGAATTTATCACTAGCCTGAACTGCTTTCCTCTGAAGTGGAGAATTCCTCCTGTTAATGAGCATGTTAACTTTTCTTTCTAAAAATAATCTTGGGGAATGCTGTTGGCAAAGAATTGACGATGTTCTGCCACAGATTCATTTTTGCATTTGAGAAGAAGCCACGGGTTTGGCCATCGGATGGATGTGTTCAGTTTTAGACTATAGATTACAGACCACCATGTTAATCTCACAGTTTGAAACAAAATTGGGAAGTCACTTAGACTTACTGTGTTTATTTCCCAGATGCGCTGGTGGCTATGGAAAAGGCTATGAAACGTGACAAAATCATAGTGAATGATCGCCAGCTGGCGTGTGCCAGGATTGCCTCCGCAGAGGGACAGGATTACTTGAAGGGAATGGCAGCTGCTGGGAACTATGCGTGGGTCAACCGCTCCTCTATGACTTTTCTAACAAGACAGGTAGGAGCAGAGTTGTCTCTGATGCAAATGTTGTGGTACAGATCCCCTGCTTTATCCTAGATGCCCAGAAAATGCAGTAGCTGCAGTTTTTAACATAAATTTCATTTTGTGCTTCTTTAACTGCATTTTCTGGAGAGACTGACACAAAGCTCCAGTCGTGGCAATCCCATCTAAAACCTCACAGCATCACTGTATTGCACCTGCAGAAGCCACTTGGGCAATATTTTTGAAAATGCCTTGAACTAAAAGATGATTCAAGAAAATTGTTTTTACACTGCTGAATCGATCTTTTCAGAGTTGTAAGAATTTGTCTAGCTAATACTTGATTGGATTCCAGCATTAAAACTGCCAGTGGGCAGATAAACAGTCTAGACAGTCGGGTTCTCTAATGCTTCGCAGCGTTGTATTCAGTTCTGCTGTGACTGAATTCGACTGAGATTTTTTTCACCTGACGTGCCAAGGGTCTGGGTCACTGACTTACCAGTAAGAAACACTTCAAGCAAATTTGTTCCTTTTGATTCCTACAAAGATTGTAAATCTTGTATTTTCTTGTATTTCAAGTCCTGGTTTGCTTTCTTCTTAGGCCTTTGCCAAAGTCTTCAACACAACCCCAGATGACCTTGATATGCACGTTATCTACGACGTGTCTCACAACATTGCCAAAGTGGAGCAACACGTAGTGGATGGAAAGGAGCGAACTCTGCTGGTGCACAGAAAGGGATCAACCAGGGCCTTTCCTCCTCACCATCCTCTTATCGCTGTTGATTATCAAGTAAGTTTAGCTGTGGGGGAAGGAAATCAGAAGAGACTTCTGGATGAATCTGACAATTTTAGGGTCCCTAACAGATACAAATGCTGCGGGTTCCTTTTTTGAGCTAACAGCACTGGAACCCTAGTGGGATGGCAGCATTCTGCTTGTGTGTGTGTGTTAGATCTTTGGGTGGCGCCCTGAGCTCCTTCTTCTGCTCCACACTCACAGTGCTTGAAAGATCAGAAAAGGAAGGGAGTTCTTCATACCTAGGATGGGGCTTCCCTGATTTCCCTTGTCTGTTGGACACAAGACTCTTGATCTGCTGGGCTACACCTTTCTGTGCAGTTAATTCTCTGGAACCCTTGACACCAGGCACCTGAGGCAAGCAGGGATGCTCTGAAGGAATGTGGACCTGACCTCCTTTTCTGGAGATATGTTTCGTCTCATACTGTTATTAAGAATGAGTATTTAAGGCTTTTTCTTGGTGAATTAATCCTTGTTTGCATTCACAGCTGACTGGACAGCCTGTATTGATCGGTGGGACTATGGGCACCTGTAGTTATGTTCTTACTGGCACAGAGCAAGGCATGACTGAGACCTTTGGAACTACTTGCCATGGAGCTGTAAGTCAAAAAGCCATTTTAGGAAGGGAGTGGAATGGGACTGTTGTCCAGAGAACAAGGTTGTTCAAGAGTTATCTAGCATATGATTCATCTGTTGGTTACATAAGGAGAGTGTAGCCTTGTCACAGTAATTCAAGCCTAGGATGACTGCAGGCTAATGTCCTCTTTTTCCTTTACTGAATAGTTTTAACTACTGCTGCAGAAAATTTAGGTGATGCCTCTTTATGCAAGGCAAAGGTCAGGCTGATGATGTGGTGAATGAGCTCAGTTTGTCAAATTCTGGTATCTCTGAGCTAACAGCAAGAATTAACTGTGCTGAGACTGTCCATATAAAATCCTCAGTAGGTAGAAGGTGTTTTCTCTCTTGTTATTTACAGTGAGACAAGGATGATTGAGGAAGAGAAATAACTTTAAGGAAAATTCCAGCTCCTGAACACTGTCTGACAGGTGGTTTGGATAAAAAGACACTTGCAGACTAGTGTGTTACACACATAAAACTTTCCTAGTCATCAGATGCGGGATTTTGAGGAGCACATCATCTAAAGTCTAAATTAATTTCCTGCTTTGTGGCTTGCTGTGGGCTGTGCCCTCAGCCGTTCTGGGATTGCTTATCATATAATAATGTTTTTCTTCAAAAAGAAAGAGTTCTGTCCAAACCGTTACAAAAAGTAGAACTAACAAAACTGCTGTCTTAGGGTCGTGCGTTGTCTCGAGCCAAATCCCGACGTAACTTGGACTTCCAGGATGTGTTGGACAAGCTGGCTGACATGGGCATTGCCATCCGTGTTGCTTCTCCAAAACTGGTCATGGAAGAAGTGAGTTTACTACTTCATTATCTGAGAGGAGAAGGCAAGGGGGGCACCTTCCTCCTTAGTTAAAGGACCCGCCGTGACTTGATTCGTCACAGTGCTAAGTGATCACTAGTTCTCTAAATACACAGCTTGTGTGATTCCTGTATCCAGATTTTTGGAAAATAATGTGAAGTCTTCCCTGTCCCTAAAATCCTGATGAATGGGGAGATGCCTGTTTCACAGGTTTAGGTGGGTATGTTCGTTTCCCTCTCCTGCCTGGCAGTAGGGATAGTTACTGTGAACCCTGAGAAGTCTGTGTGTGATCGTCACAAAAGTAGTTATGTTTTAAGGTTGTACTCTATGATCTTGAAGGTCTCTTCCAACTGAAACTGTTCTATGATTCTGAGGATTCTCTTCCTGAATGATGTTCTCTCAGCCTTAAACTTATATAAAGCTGAACAGCTGTAAGTATTGTGAGACTATATATGAGAGATCCACCTCTTTTAACATGAATTCCTATATTTACTCAAGAAGAAGAAGATAACTCTGAATGGCTAGCTAACTTTGAAACTCCATTTCTGCAGTAGAATGTCTTTTTTTGTTCAAAATCTCACCCATAGGAGTGCATTAATCTGTTATGGGTGTTCATGTTCTGCAAACACATTGGTCACATTAAAACCTCTCTAAAGAAGAGCAGTTTCCTTGTCAGAATGGAGCGGGAAGCTCCAGAGTTCAGCCCTGATTCCAGGCTCTAAGGGGCAGTGTAGATAAATTGTAAAGGCTGTCTGTAAGGAGCAAGTTGGAATGACTTCCTGCCAGATAATGAGTCTTGATGTTCTCACATGCTAGTGGCCTGGATTGTCTCCAAATAGAGTGAAAACTGAACGAAAAAAAGCTACTATTTTATTTTGTCCTGGTTTGAGCTAAACGAAACCAATTCTGTTCAGTGATTTTTATTTTCCAGCTCAGTCTCTTCTAAAAGGCTGCACTTTCTGAAGTTAACAGCACATTTTTGCACACAGTGTGTGCTACTGGCAGTGATGACACCTGATGTTTGCAGTTACTGCCTGGGACTGGGATGTGGAAAGGCTCTTGCTTATACTTATTCCCATAGTGACCAAGGTCACTACTGGCTCTGTGTGCCGCGCTGGGTGTGCTGGGAAGTAAAAGGAGTCACAAGGAAGTAAAAGGTTGCACCTCTGGGAAGTGACAGACAGGACAGGTGACCAACAAGAGTATTCCTTTCCATATACGTCATATTTAGTGTAAAACTGAGGGATCACAGGGGTTAGGCCCTCTTCTTCAATGGCCAGCGTCCGAGGAGGACTCCAGCACATCTTCTGCCTTTGATCCCAATCCTGAGTTTCGGAATCCAGCTCCTGTGTCCAGCTCCCCCGCTGAGCCTGGGACTTCCCTGGTGCTGCCTGCTCTGCAGCAGCAGTGGGGATTGCTGTCTGGGAGGGACTCCACTTCAATAGCTCAATATCAGTTTTGTATGTAGGTATATAGTTCTCTATTTTTATTATTTCCATATTCATTAAAGCTGTTTTAATTTTCTGTTTCCAATCCACAAGTCACTCTGCCTACCCTTTTCCTTCCTGTTTCTGGGGAAGAGGGGATTAGAGAGCATCTGTCAGTATTCAGTGGCTGGCCCAGCCCTAACCCGTGACATATCTGAAACACAATGAAAGCTTATTTGGGAAGCGAATTATCTCACAGATTTCATAGATATTTAACGTGGCCAGATTCTCAGTGCCTTCCCTACTTTTACACCCTCAATTCATGTGATTAACTTTTTGCAAAGAGAAGAGGGAATATCAGAAGCCTACATCTAACTTCTTGTGACTTTGGGTTGTTTATATTTTGTCCTTTTTATTTTTTATCTCCTCCAGGCACCAGAGTCTTACAAGAACGTGACAGATGTGGTTAACACCTGCCATGCAGCTGGCATCAGCAAGAAAGCCATTAAACTAAGACCTATTGCTGTTATAAAAGGCTAGCAGCTGACAAGGCAGCAGAAATGCACTGACATCTCCAGGCCTTATACAAAGCTGACTAGAGCCATCATCTTCCCACACCTCTTGGACTCTGTAGGATTCTCAGATATCACATCCCCGTTCTGAAAACACAACACTTGATGATACCCCTATTTCTAACCACTCCTAGGCATAATTAATGCCTCCCCCTCCCCTCCTTGTTATATGGTGTTCTTTTCTTGTGGGGAAAGAAATAAGGAAGTCTTGGTTTTTATATGCAGACCCTCCCCCATTTGCCTGGTGATTCCACAGGCAGGACTTCAGACTTGCCTGAGTTGTCACTACTTGCTGTAGCTGCAAGACCACCTCCATCAGCAAAGACGGTGTATCAGCCAGATGCTGTCTGCACACCTGAGTGCCTGGAGCTCGTTCTGCATGTGCAAATACTCGGATAAGCAGGGTATGATGCTTCTGGGCAGGGAGAGGTTGCTCTGTTTGCAGATACCTTTACACATAGTCTATATTGTTGCATGTTTTGTGGCAACTGGGCAAGAAATCTGGAGTTGGGAGCGGTCTCCCACTTGGGTTGAGAGGGACTAGCTAAGCTTGAGGCACAGTCCTCCCCTCTTCTCCCACTCTCTCCTGTTTAATTCAGCACCTGGAGTACTTGTCTCAGTACAAGTAGGTGTTCCACAGTTTAAATGGAAATGCTGTTAGAACTCAGTATGTTGCTCTGAGAGGGGTTTTGTTTCCCAGTAAAAGTTGTGACTTAACAACTTAGAGATGTTGCTAATGCAATATTTTACAAAGTTCAAAGCATGTAAAAGTTGGATTGGGTAAGACTGCTTCCCGTGTCCTACAGCGCTCGTTTAAGTGAGTCCAGTTGCAGGGTCAGGTCCTGTACGATGTGACTTCTGATTTTTGTTTTACATTCATTAACCAAGACTGGAGGGGAAGCTGACCATCCCCACTGGATCATTTTGGGGATTACAAATAAAACGGGAAGATGAACGCTGCTGTGTGTCTGTGTTGTTTTTATGCTGCAGCTAAAGTGTCTGTTGTCCAAATTAAGTACCTATATGAGCTTGAGACCCGTCACGTTTTGTGACGTCGACCGATGGGTCTCGGGAACGAACATGCAGATGACAGAATTACTTGCAGGATACAGGAGAAGGGCAATGCAGTGCCATTTTCTCCATCTGGTTATGACAAGAGCGTGATGGCTACAATCTGGCTTTTTTGGGGGCCTGCTGGGTCCACATCATGGGATAGAGGATGGAGGTTGCCTGTAAGCCTGTGCACAGACACAAGGGGGCGGCTGGAGGAAAATAAATCCTCGAAAGAGTGGAGCTGTGCCAGGGACTCGTGTAAAAGGAGCAGATGGTGATTGATGGGACTTGAGTGCCTTTTGATGAAATATCCCTTTAAGGTTAAGATCTTAGGTGAAGCCTGTTGATCTCGGGAGGTGTAATGGCACTTCACTGTCCTAATAGCTTTGTGCTTATTTGTTTCTTGGGTTCAAACACTGCATTTGCTGCAGGTTCAGAAGCAGCACATGCAGTAACAGTCACTGCTGTGAGCCCTTGTGGCTCTGACTTCACAGATAGTTTCTTGGTTTTCCCTGCTTTCTCCAGTGGAATTGTTCTAGATTGCCATCCCTGAGGTCTGGGACACCCTTGCTAAGTTAAAAACAAAAATCATTTCACTTAGAAATGTGAATTAGCCTCCAGTGACTAAAAGACAAGTTCTTGGTCTTAAATCTTCTGCAGAAGTGCCTGTTCTGCGCAGAAATTTCTGTCTATATATATTTTAGACTCTCTGATGTGGAATATAAGGGAACCCTTAAAACATACAAATTTTTTTAAAAAGCATTTCTCAGACTTAGTTCTTTCAACTTTTACCTGCCATTTCTGTTAAGAGACAAATATCAGGTTTTTTGTAACAAGCAAAAAATCGTGTAGTATGGAGGTGCTCTCATATGTACACCCCAAGTCTTCTGATCCTCGGTTAGGAATGTGAGAAATGCTGTCAGTTTTCATTTGCCGTTGCAAAGCTAGTACTAGTTTTGTTTATATGTTATGCTTTATAGAGGAGAAGCCTGGTATCCTAATCACCTAAAAAGTAAGAGTAAAAATGTAAGATGTCCCCAGTTCTTCATTTAAACCTGATGTTTTTCTGATTCAAGTCTCTTCTCCAAATAGGCCAGTCCAGTAGCTTTTTTTAATATGCACTTTAAAAAATGAATTCAAAAAATTAGTAGGTAGGAAAGGAAACTTTTATGTGCTGAAATAGAGGTGATTCTGCAGAAGCATTCTGGCAACACGGTGTGGTTATTGAACCACCTCTGCTTCCAAGGAAGGTTACTGAGAACCCAGAAATATCAATGTCCGATGGTCTTCCTTCAACAAAGACTGCAACAGCTTTGGCGAATTATTATTAAGGGTTTTTTTCTTCTTTTTTTTTTTTTTTTAGGTGGGAAACCACAGGTGGGAGATCCTTGTCTGTACCATACCCCTGAACTGTTGCACACCTTTGTCCAACCACAGGCACTTAAATCTCTTCCTGTAGTTGATTCAGTCGTCTGTGTGATGACCTCCAGCAGAAGATTTGCTGGCCTTGGGGCTTGCACACAGTATCTGCATTCAGTCTGCCTTCAGCCAGTGCAGTAAACCCAGTCCTTGGACGCAGGTTTCTTTTTAGTGAGAACACACAACTCACTGCGCTTATCTTACTCTCAGCTTGAGAACAAGATGGTTGAACTTGCAGATTGGATCTGCCGAAACAGAGGATCTGGTAAGTAGACGGTATCACCTCTGGTGGTGGCTTCCATGGCACCTTTCTTCTCTCCGCACTCACAGGGCTTGCTGCAGCAGGTGACAGCGGAGCAGAGGCGAGTGCTTCCTCTCTTACTAGGAACTGACTCTTCGTGGTGAGCTCAGGGGCTTCCTTGGGTGCTGTTCCTAGTATTAAATAGCGAACAGAAAAGCACTTCAGGCTTTCACTGGTAGTGGGTGAGTCTTTCAGGAAGTCCTCTAAATGCATCCCCTGTGCTGGGGCGATGCTGTTTGCCGGGGCACAGTGCGAAGCAGAAAGGTCAGCGCTCAGCCCATGGGCTGTGTGAGAACTTCCAGGAAGGCAGCTCCCTCCAGCAGTGGGGCAAACAGGGGAACCCGTGTTTCATTTGCCATAGCAGATGGCAGAGCTGGGATGCAGCTGATGGCCTCCTTCTCTTTGACCTGGTTAAACTTCTCATACTCCAGCACTCCCTAACTCCCCTAAATCAGCCCTCCTGAACGGAAGCCGGAACCCAAGAAGGTATGTGCTTGCAGTGCTCTCTGCTGTGGTATATTTGCACTGTGTTGCACACCCCACTGGTTGGAAGCCCGGTGTCTGAACTGTGTCGCATTTATCACCACCCTGACTCTCTTGGGAGGTTTCTTTCTCTGCTGTAACTTTCCTCTCTCTGCTTTAAACACAGCTCCACACTCACTGCTTCCTCCTCCGCTGGTGGTCCCAGGCTGGTGTTCTGGCCCAGGAGGAACAAGTGATCTCTGACACATCTCTGGCGCAGGCACCCCCGCCCTCTCCTCCGCTCTCCTTTGTTCTTCTCAAACATAAACACACTTAACTGGCCTCTTCTCTTCTCCCTCCACCCCCCCAGTCTTCAAAGTGATCAGACAAAGCAACATCCCTCCTGCAGCATGTGCCAACACGCTCCCCTGCTTGCAGAAGGAAGGCTTCAATTAAGCAGCAGGCTCTTGTATATGGCATTTGCTTTGCTCTCTTGAGCTCTGTCCTAGCCCCAGGCACTTCGATCACCAGTGCCTCTGGTTTTCTGCCTGGGGAAGTGGCAGTGGGAGGTGTACAGAAGAAAAGCATGAGCTCTGCAGCTCCAGGGCGATACCAGGCGCAGGTGCTTCATCCCCTGCACTGTGGGAGGGAGAGGAAGGTGGTACCTCATGAACCACCAATAATTATGTGGTTGCTGGTGAGTTTTTGTGTTTTGTTTTTTAATTGCAATACATAACAGGAGGGCGGAGGTCCTTCCCTGCAGCGAGGGTGAGTGCCAAAGCCATATGTGATGTGGGAGAGCAGGGGCACAGAAAAGCCTCTCATCGCCCTAGAGAGATGAACAATTTGGCCTCTTCAGGCACCAACCAAGCAATCACCAGCCTGAGCTGCTGCTGGCTTTCACGGTGCCAAGCACATCCTGATCTTACTGCGCCCAGGAAACTGCTTCGCTTCACATTGTATATAAAAGTTCAGAAACCAAAATAATCACTAGTCTTAATTGCAGAGATTAGGACCAAGAAATGGAAACAAAGTCATCTGCCAGCACTTAATCTAACATTTACTAGTTTAGCAAAAGACATGCAGGACCTGGGCTGCCCTCACACACTGAGGTGTTTGAGTCAGCCTTGTGATGGAGCCTGTTCCTAAAAAGATGTGCCAGGGTCAGCCCAGATTATTATTCCTCAGGTCCCCCACTGCAGCCAAGCTACAGCTAGCACCCTGGTTTTTGCTTAGAATCGGCTTTGCCCAGCAGGTTGTTGGAAGATAGGAAAATATTTTCCTCCTTTCTCCCCTCCCTCGGTGCCTGAGGAAAGTGAGGCACCAACTTCTTGTATTCCCCTGTGCAAGCTTTGCCTCATGTTGAGGAGCTGAGGTGGGAGCCCAGGCTCTTCCCCTCTGCATTCCCAACCCCGGTCAGCTGGCATGGGGTGGGAAGTCAGGTAGGTTGGACATTCTGCTCTTCCCTGTGGAATGCAAATCCAGGCAACCTGTTGCCCTGCCGTCTGTCAAGAGGGGGAGAAGAAATGGATGGGGAGGGGTTCCCCACAGGCACCCAAGGGGAAGGAAGGGGCAGTTCCCACAGGGGAAGATGTAGCAGTGGGTGTGTGCGCGATAAGGTCCAAGCCCTGATGCATTAGAGCAGCAGGTTATTACCTCTGTCAATTAAGCAGTAGGAGATTATCAAACCTGAGCACCCTTGTAGGGAAGAGCCGCCCAGGGAGAACAGCAGACTGCCAGCATTTGTGAATATATACACTTAAGGACAGGACATTAGGGTTTTATAACAAAATTTAAGGGAAAAGTAGGGAGATGAGAAGCAGGCACATTGCGCAGAGCTTCGCCTTAGCTCTTTTACATCAGCACGAGCAACCACATGTGCTTCTGCCCAAATTGTTGCTTTTCACAAAAGGGAAAGACAGACCAGCCACTAAAACCTCCCTGGGCCCT